GACAATTTTGCAGTTTTATAAGTACTATCAGTACAATGCTGAGTGGTTCTGAATATTGAGTAAAGCTCTCTCATCCAGATAGGTTAACATTTTGTGTGTAATGATGTGTGGTTTTGATTATATATCAGAGTAATTTTATAAACTTCAGTTTGTGATAACCCTTTAAGTCTCCCCCCTTTTTTATCTTCGCGTTTTATTATAAAGTAGTAAAAATGCATAGAATAATTTTTTTAAATGTGTTTTTTCCGATTTCACAGTTATCATATTCATGTATAACAGAGGTGATACATATACAACGACAAAAGTGAAGGTAAATTTCTGGGTACGCTTCTGTTATCAAGGTAGGATTCAAAAATGTATTTTATATGCACATGTATGTGCATGTGTATGCATATATATGTGTGTACACACGCATACATACCTATGTACATGCATACATGGACACATTGATCCATACATACATACATTTCTGAACCCGGTCCCAATAACAAAAATACCAATTTCTAGATCAAATGGTATTTAAATTAAAACTTGTACAGTGCGAAGTGTGAGATCCGGGTGTTTAAAATCCGGACCTCAAGGCCACCACAAACCGCCTTTTTTTTTTTTTTTTTTTTTTTTTTTTTTTTTTTTTTTTAACTGACCAAAATCCACTATCATGTAAAATTGCACGTACATTGTTGAGAGCTGTCTGATTGAATCTCTCACAAACTCCATTCTGTTCCGGAGTATATATATCTGTAAATTCGCACTTTACACCATTTTTATTACAATATAACCTGAATTGTTCATTGTCATATTCTCGTCCATTGTCTGTTCTAAAGTATTTCAACTTAAGGTTCAGAGATCTTTCAGCACGTGCTATATGCCTTTCAAATACTTCAAACACCTGACTTTTCTCTACAATAGGGTACACTACCACATAACGAGAATATTCGTCAATAAAGGAAACGAAATAACGTTCACTATTCCTATCTGGAATGTTAATAGGTTCCCATACATAAAAAAAAAAAAAAAAAACCTTTCAAGCGGTCTTCTCACTTGAATGCCTTCTAAAGGTCTATAGGAGATTCGTCTTTGCTTATTGATTTGGCAATGTTCACAAAACAAATTAGGTGAGTTCACGAGAAATCACAGCTTGGAAAAACATCGCCGCTAATTCTGGAAAAACACTTATGTTGAAGATGCCATCTTCATGAAAACAGGATGCCGCCCACGGCAGTTACTCACTGGAAATCACAGGTTGGAATCTATTGCCGCCGAACTGTAGAAATAGGATGCCGCCCACGGCTGTCGCTCACATCTCACATCGTCGCCGCTTTTCAGAATCCAGAAAAAGTCACCTTTCGGAACGGAATCATGGCACTAATTGCTGGCTGGCATGCGTCACGATATCGTTTTCCAATGGGGGCTGGAACGGCACACCACGGAGCAATGAAACAGGAACCAGCAGGAATAAGCCAGGGCGACGCGAGGTACTTATACCTGAAGGTGACATGATGTCATCTCGCAGCAATCAATCAGCTATCGGCACAACTCAGCTTTCTAGATGACGTAACATCAAGTTTCATTTTTGCATCTTAATTAGGCTGGAACAGTCCTTTCTTAATACAAACAGTGGCAGTGAAAAATGAAGTAGAAATAATTACTATATACCTTTAAAATAAGACCTAAACCTTATGTAAAAGTTAGAATTATTTCAAGGAGGAGAGATGATGCAGAAAAAGGGTTACAATAGGTCATATTTTCCAATAGTTTGTTTTGGATTTGATGTGGATGCTGACGTAAAACGCTGAAAAGTTTTGTTTACCAAATTCCATGTTATTGGAAATTTTTATTTCTGCTTATGAACTACGAAAGTAAAGTACACCAGTAATTTTCATGTAAGTAATGTTATAATGCATATTATGAACATCCCTAATTGCGTAGAAGCTGAAATAAACTTTAAAAATTTCTTTGCGTTTCTAGAAGTCTCAAATATTAATGAAATAATATATACTGAATAAATAAATAAAATAAAAAAGCCAACCAAAATAAAAAATAGTTGGTACTTTAAAAATACAGAGCAGCTGTAAGAAAGGTTCCAATATTTACACAAAATTTTTGTGTGCTTGTAATACGCTGATGCCATGTTATTTTAAATATGCCCAAATTTGGGACGAAAGCAGATAATATATAAAATTTTGGCATTGACCATTTTTATTTCTTCAGAGTCATAGCTGGATAATTTATTAGTAATCTCGTCTGCTTTAAAATGCAGTATGCGCAGTTATATTTTATGCATAATCCATAAAATGTTATTTTTAATTTCAAAATTTTTAATTCATATCTCTTTTTTATAGAAGAAGTTATAAAAATAAGCTTTTCTGTTTATAATATATATATATACACGCACACATATTAGGTAATGAAAATGGAAATATTTAATTAATTATTTCCTCCGCTTCAGCTGGAGAGGATTGATTTTAAAAGAAATTATTATAGTAAGTTTTTTTTTAATAAAATGTTTAGGGCATGAATACTGTCTTGTTAATTGGTAGTGAAAGTTTAGATCTGGAAACAAAGTCTGAGCACATGTATGTACATTCACATAAAAGTGAAACGAATAAATAAATATATATGTACAGAGTATGCTTTAAATTCATATTATATAATTTTCAAAATTTTTTGCAGGGAAAATTTAGATAAATAAGAGCATAAATAAAACATTATATTTAATGCGTATAATAATAGAAATAAATAGCGTATGGCATTCGAACTCACGACCTCAGAAGATAGCCATGCTACCGTCAACTTTACCATTAAGCTATCATCATACAAGTATGGTATGCAATTTTGGCTTATATACATCATCAAGTAAATGAATTCTTTAAATTAAATTTTTTGTCTTATTTCAGTCTGCTATCCTTAAAAAATTCACCAGAGTTTGTTCTTCAGCTTCTAGGACATTTCTTACAAAAAAATATTACCTTTTAAAGTGGCATTCTGTTTAAAGTTAAATGGGGTGCTAAGAATATATTCCATGTGCTTACAAATATCTGTCTTTGATATATGTTAGACAAAAAGGTATATTTATAAATAGAGAAATACAAATTTAACATTCTCTTTAATGCAGAAAATATTTAAAAGGCTGACAAATTTAATTTATAATTAACATTTTTAGTTTTTATTTGTTTTAAAAGAAAAAATAACACTTTTAATGCCATATCTGATTTGTTACAGCAGTTTGATATTGTCAGACGTTCGGTTTCATTAAAGGTAAATGTGTATGCAGAGCTAGGAAATAATTGTCAGGGCAAAAAATGCTATTTCATGGACTCGAAATTATATTTTTTGTGCCTGATTTTCTTGAACTGAATTTCTTAACCGCCTGATTTTCTATGCGAACTAGTACTGTAATTGCAGTTATCTTTTTTTTTAACTAAATTCAGCTAGTTGCTGTCTGTTTGAGTACGCAGATTTCTCGCTATAATGTGCATTCAGAAATTAGTATTTTTTAGCAAAACATTCCTTCCCTAAGCCAGCATTCATTGCTACTTCTGCCGCCATTAATTTTTGGTGACAACACCTGATTGCTCCTTTTTTACCATGTGACCCCAACACATCTGCAGACATATGGATAAAAATTGAACGTTGTTAAACTCTATCCATACGTCATCCGTCACCGCACATCGACCAGATTGCAGATGTCAATCAAAGTGAATTCGCTCTCTGATTGGAGAAATGCATAGACACCACAACGCATACGCAGCAGTGGAAATGGGCTTTAATGTGTAGCAAACTCGAGAACATCTCAACGCTTGCAGATTTAAAAAGAGTTGGAATTCTTGAAACTAGCACAACACAGCTCTTTTGGGCTAGCGGTAAAGAATTCTGCTCATAAATAACCAACCTAGGTTCGGTTCCTGCTCATGTGATGTAGCACTTCTCACTGGTGTTAATAGATGGCGACACAAGCAACTACCGATGCTTCACTGAAACATGTGATTGCTACAAATGGATTTTGTGAAGAAGCGATAACGAAGATAATACGACATAAGTTTTTCATTGCGATAACAATGCCCTAATCATCAATCACTTAATGGACAGTGAAATCTGTAGTATGGCTTTAGATCTGGAAAAGTACCGCTATCGATAGTGAGAAAATTGACAGAGAGGTTTTTGAAAACAAAACAATTTCGATTGATATTAACAGGACTTGAACAAAATTAAACTTTGTAACTGAACATCAAATTAAATCTGTCTATAGAATTAAAGAGAAAAATAATGAGCCTTTTTTCCCCCTTTTTGTAAATTTGGACACCCTTTATATCATAAATGTTTCATTATTTCATAAACCTAGATTTCATATTTATAATTTTTAAATTTTTTACATACCATCTTACTAGATTTAAACTGATAGTTAATATCCAGAAGAATCCCAAATCCGGAATCGCCGAAGTCCTGACGAGTCCAGATCTCGGACTTTGTACTGTATTAATTGCAAAAAATAAAGTGATACCATTCCTCTCTATTGAGAAATACAGCAGCCTCCTCTTTTTTTTTTTTTTTTATAAGTGTTACTGTAACATAATCTTCCATCTTTTAATTATTGCCTCCATATAGTAAACATGTCAGTGAACTAGAGAAATTGAAATGAATTCTTGCTTCACCTTATACAGTAATTGAGTATGATTAGATAATTGTGGTATAACATTATAGCCTCTTCAGTGATTAAAAATAGTGTCACCAGCTCTAGTGTCTTGATTTTTTTATACCACCACCTAAATTCATGTCACTTATATTTTTTAATGTATATGTTTTGTTGATAATTGAAAGGCAAGTTTTATTTTTAGCAAATGTTTGTCAACTGTTTTATACAAAAGCATTTGCTTACACCAAAACATTGTAAATCTGATAATGTTGAAAACTAATTAAAAATCCTATTTACTGCAGAAAAAGTATAAATTTTGCTACCTGTTTCTGTGTTTTTAATGGTTTATTATTTTTCTCTTTGTCAGGAACATTGGGTGGATTTGATACCTGAAGATCCTTCTAGAGTGATGGAGTGGGCAAAATGTGTGCATAATGATAAAATAGTTGTGTGTTATATTGAGGATGTAAAAGTATGTTTTATTGTCTTTGATATATAAAACATTCATGCTTGTGTCTTATCCTGGACTAGTAGCTTCACTAATTGCTAAGAATGAAAATAACATACCACGTTGTGTGCCTTCTTGTTGCAGCCATATTTTTGTTGCAGCCATATCCTTAATTTGTGTTTAATATATTCACATATTTGTAATTTATTTTCTTCATGGGTCTTTAGGATTTAGCGCCTAATGAAACAGTAGCTACGTATTTTGCTTTCTCTTCTAGAATTCTTCGAGTCTATATTGCACAGTATCCACCAGAACCTTAAAAAAATAAAATTTCAGGCATAGTTGCCGATTACTCCTGCAGTTTTGTTTGCATGAACTGATGAAATAATTAAGTTGTTGCTAAAATTACTGTGGTGCATACAAAAGCTCGATGCCTCAGAAAAATACAAGTATCAGTTTTATTTTATCAAGTATCAGTTTAGTCTAAGTTTCTAATGGAGTATGAACTTCTGTAGTGCATATTCCATTTAAAGCTGTGCCAGCTTAAATTAAATCGATTGTTTAAGACCTGTGATAACAAACGGGACGAGTATGTCATATTTGTCTATTTTGCTATCACAGGTCTGTTATAATTTACATTAGATGTTATTTATCATTAATCGTATACATATTATGTTCTGTGTCAGAAAATGCCATTCATGTATATTTCTTGGCTGATATTCTTAGAATGTAACCAAACAATCCATCTCCAATACTTAATTTCTTGTAACATAGTTTCATCTTGGTCTGCATATAACACTGGGAAATTTATTTATTTATTTTACTTTGTGAGTTTTATGAAAATATTTTGTTATTAAATATTTTAATGGATTTTTGTGAAATTTTCTTTACTTCCAAGTTTCTGTGAAAGACAGTCTCAAGACTGTTACTATAACCTTTAATTTCCTGAGTAATAAGAGATTACCTTAATATCTAACTTTCAAGAAGGAACCTGACTTTGTCATGTATGTACGTACCCAAATTATAACGAAACCATGTAATTAAGCTATTTTTGTGAGAAAAACTGTTGATCTTAATGTAAAATTCAAATTTGTGTGGTACATAACTGAGAGGTACTACTTTGCTTGAGATACATAAATGAAAATAACTGTTGCACTACTTCATTGTACTCTTTTTTGCTAGGAACATTAAAAGTCGATGCTCGTTCAAATAAGAGAGATGCATAAATGAAGATGACATAATTGCGAGATTACTGTTTTTTTTATCTTGTAAAATATAGTTATTTTATATAGAGTATAATATTATATATTATTTTATATAGAGTTTGTGTGATTTTGGCTCGTATTGATGCTAATAATTAAAAAAATGTATTCTTAGTGACTCCTGTACTATTTGGGTATTGAAATGGTATTTCATATAATCAGCATTTGTGAGAAACAAATTCTAATTTAGGAATGATCAGCCTTAAAATGTGTGAAATCCATAGGGTATGTGAATAAATTTGGAAACTAAAGACTAGGAAGTTAACATCTTTAGTTAATGAAGTACATAAAGTTCTAAGCACAAGAGTAGGAGAGTGGAAGAGAGAGACTAGGAAGTTTACATTTTTAGTTAATGAAGTACGTATAGTTCTAAGTATGTATAGTTCAGATGTATAAAATACTGTCAGTTGGAAACAACTTGCAAGTACTATAGTTAGGTTGTGGCAACTTTCACCATAAAAAAATTATGAGTTGCCTGTGAAATTAGCAAATTTTAATCCAGGAAGATTGCCTTGGCGGTCTGATGATGGGAGCCGCTGATGAAGTACAGAGCAGCTTTAACTCATATTAATAATAAAATAGTGTTTTTAGATATGTGTATGTTGGCAATATTAGCAATACAGCATGAAAAAATATATAGGTGATTCAGAATATACAGTTTCTTATTAGGAATTCTTATTATTCTAAGGAATTGTTTACACAATCGTGACAAAATTTGTTTTTAATATTAATTTCAATATTTTATTCATAGTTGTTGTTTTGGTACTTATTGTATCTTCTTTTGATAGAGCATGTTATACTTGCATGATTTGAAAACTGGAAGTCGTTTAAAGTCATTTCCTTTAGATGTTGGTACTGTGATTGGCTTTTCAGGGAAAAAAACACAATCTGAGGTTGGTAATTTTTTTTCCATTAATCTAATGCAGTATTTTAAAAGTATTTATTTTTTAAATTTGTATTATGTGTATGTTGGGATCCATCCTTCAGTTACAGAAATTCTGAAAATTAAGTGTAGAATTTAATAGCAATTTAAATATCGGAAATGATGAATCCATTAATGAAAATATATATATATAAAAAATCGTTACGATTAACTTCAAATTGAACCTAATTCCTGTGGGAAAATAGTGTACTGAAAAATAAAAGGCTATTACAGTCAAAAGTCTTTAATCCGGACTCGTCGGGACTTCGGCGATTCCAGATTATAGATCATCAGTTTAAATCTGGTAAGATGGCATGCAGAAATTATAAAAGTATAAATATAAAAACGTAATTTATGAAATAAAGAACAATTATGATCTAAAGAGTATCAAAATTTACAAACAAAAGATTAATATTTATTTGTTTACTTTATTAAACATTTCTTTCAATGTGCGCATGTGTAAAGCATACATTACGCATAGTCGAAATTAGAAAATTGCAACCAGAAAACTATTTAATGTGTATTTGTGATATTTTATAATAAATTTGATTTAAATCATATCAAAGACAGAGTACATCGAGATGAAATACTACATTTAGTAATGAACTATAAGCCGAATAAAATAAAAACATCTGCCCTGAAGATAAAGATAGTGCTGACAGATTAACTTCCAGTTCATTGCGCGCCACATCGTTCCCCTCCCCCGCAGAGCAGCGTGAAATTGATAAACAGATTTCGGAATGGTTAGAGAAACAAAGGCTATGCCTTTATCCATTTTTTGCACCAATTCCACTTTTTGTTTGATGGACATCGAAACATTCTTTCGTTTTGTAGATCCTTTGGCAGTATCCAGCATAGGAAATTCTATTTGACATAATTGAAAGTTGAAGCTTACTTTTATAAAATTGCTCTAACAGTCTGCAAAAAATAATAAGCTGAATCCAGTTCGAAGATTAAGGAACAACGCAATCTGCAACATTAACTGAAATAGATAATTAGATAATTTTAGCTTAGCTTATACCGCCCGTTATACATTAAATGTGTTATGCGCATGCATAAACGCATATGTGCATGCATGAACGCATTATGCGTTGACGCATGTGCAGAAAGTTTGTAGCTTTGAGGTCCGGATTATAGATCATTCCGGATTATGGGCGTCCGGATTAACGACTTTTGGCTGTATTTAATTTCACAATAAAAGTAAATAAATTACCGTAGGTAGAACTTTCTTAAACTCTTGTGATCTTTAATAAGTTACTGTAAAAAACTGATTCCTTTTATTATTGTTTTTCATTTTTTTATTTATAAATGTATTTTATTACAGATATTTTATCAGTTTGCTTCATTTTTTACTCCCGGAATTATTTACCACTGTGATCTCAAAAGAAGTATGGAATCGGAGGTATTGCATTTATATATATATATATATATGTGCGTGTGTGTGTGCTGTAATATTATGTATGTATTTTAATGTGCTTTTACATATAAGTATTTTCTAAGTTAACAATTTTCTAGGTCTTTAAGAAAATAGTTGTGCCAGGCTTTGATGCCTCAGAATTTAAGACCATGCAAGTTTTTTATCCAAGTAAAGATGGTACAAAAATTCCAATGTTTCTTGTGCATTCCAAGGTATTTTATGTTTTATAAAATATAGATATAAGAGATAATATTTTTTTATTTATAGTATATCGGTTTTTAAACGTATATTGGTTTGATATTTTTCTAGGTTTTTATTTTTCTATTTCTGTGTTTATGTTATGTTTACGCTATTGGTTTGATATTTTTCTATGTAACTAGGCATCAGTTTTATGCTGTATATATCTGAACTGAATGAAATATTTTAAACTTTTATTTTGCATTTATTGTTTTATGAATCAGGAAGCATGAATATATAATAAGCGAAACAAAACTGTAGGAGTGGTAAACTGGTGAGACTTGCTAATTGGTATGACTTACTATTCCTGCTGATAAAATTGAAGACAAAGGTGAATCGATGAGATTTTAAAATTATTTTCACAATTTTCCTCTTATAATAGGAACACTAGCAGCGTCTCAGCAGCACAGCTGTGTCTGGCATTGGATGTATGTTAAAAGTGAGTGGGGTGCAAAATTAAGAGTTATAAATTAATCTTTACACTCCAAGCACATTTTAATACAATCAGCTTGCAAATATGGCATGCATATGCACTGGAAAACTGGTACTGTTCGATTTAGTGTCGATTAAGGAAATACAGTACAAAGTCTTTAATTCGGACATACATAATCCAGAATGATCTATAATCCGGACTTCAAAGCTACAAACTTTCTGCGCATGCGTAGCGTTTATGCATGCTCATATGCGTAATGCATACGCGAATATGCAAAATAATATGCGTAATTGCATATGTGTAAATGCAAAATACGTTTACGCATGCGCGCTTAATGTATAACAGACGGTATAAGCTAAGCTAAAATTATCTAATTCAGTTAATGTTGCAGATTGCGTTGTTCCTTAATCTTCGAATTGGACCGGCTTATTATTTTTTTGCAAACTGTTAGAGCAATTTTATAAAAGTAAGCTTGAACTTTTGATTATGTCAAATAGAATTTCCGATGCTGGAGCTCCCAAATAATTTCTTACTAAATGTAGTACTTCATCTGGATGTACTCCGCCTTTGATATGATTTAAAATCAAGTTCCTCGTCATTATAATTCGCTTCCCATAGTGAAGAAAGTGACAGAGAGGTTATTGAAAACGAAAACATTTCTATTGACAAATTAGTTGGTATTCTCGACACAGCAATTATATGACTTAAACAGCGGAACTTTGTAACTGATCAAGAAATTATGTCTGTTTATAGAATTAAAGAGAAAGTATTATCACATAAAACGAAACAACTTACATTGAAAGAAATGTTTAATAAAGTAAACAAATAAATAGTAAGCCCCCCCCCTTTTTTTTTTTTTTGTAAATTTTGATACCCTTTAGATCATAATTGTTCTTTGTTTCATAAATTATGGTTTCATATTTTTAATTTTATAATTTCTGCATGCCATCTTGCCATATTTAAACTGATGATCTATAATCCGGAATCGGCGAAGTCCCGACAAGTCCGGATTAACGACTTTTGACTGTATATGGAAATCTAAGAATAAGATTTGAAATCAAGCTTTACCGTACAGCTGATTTGGAGACCTTATGAATTGAGAAGGGGAAAGAAGGCGGAAAAGTTTTTATTGACTTGAAGAACAGGAAGGAAACTGTGAAAACTATAGGTATTGTTAAAATTAAAAACCATTTGTTGAACTGCAAAAGTCATGCAAAGCTAGGATATGCATTATGAGGAAGACTGACTTTTATATGGAAAATTCTGTTTGGAACATAATTCATAGTTGGGTTTGGTATGTATGGGAGAAGTTCCTAAAATTAACAGGTTCTAGCTGAAGTAAGGAATAATTTTCAGAATATCTTTGAGTAAAAATACCAGTTTTGAAGTTTAATAAGCTATTGAATGTCAATTGTCCCATCATGACATGAAGAAAGATAACATCCTTATTAAAATGGCGACATGTGCCTTTAAGGTTATCTGAAATTTGCATGTCGTAAAATGGATGATTAAGTTTGACACTTTAGTAACTAACAACAATGGATGCTCTATTAAAAGTCAGATTGTTTGATTTTCGGGACTTGTCGTACTGTTGTTTCAGAAAAAGGAGGGAAGAACAAACATTTTATTCGAATGTCGGAGGTTCACTTGAAAGCCAGAGAAAGAATTGTAGAAACTGGCGGATCACCACTGCACTGACAAAATCATGTAAGCTTGTTCTGTAGTGGTATAAGCCAAGCAAAGACGAGATATTTATCATAGGAAAGAGTTGATCTTTCAAAAAGCATATTTTTAATTAAATTGCAGAGATTTGAAATGAAAATAAAGAAGAAAGTTTCAGTGAATGCAAAAATTAATTACAAATAATTTATATTCTATATATATTTGCCTTTTTGGTTAAAGCATCTGTTATAGCACATTATCAATTGTATGCATTTGTCTTGGCACCTGGCTTTTTAAGTCGTTAAGCCAATCTGTCACCTAATTTGAGTGAAACTGCCAGTTGCCACCTACTTTCTTTATGGAGCTTTCTGATTATCGACATCTGTTTGCCCTTCCAAGATTTTATGATACCACATCTGTGCAACACTAGAACCATAAACATTGTGCAATCTGTGAAGTTTTCCCATACATGTTAAGTGACAAACATGTTAAGTTGCTACACAAACAGCAATACGTGAAATGGCAAATCATACTCCTTGATAGGATGGAAAATTGAAGTCAATATGAAATAAAATGTCCTAGATCGATATGCAAAATTAACTTTGCACATTAGCATTGCCACATGTATTAAATATAATTATTGTAACTATGATTTGTTACAAATGTAGCTGTTATAGCTGTATCTAGATAACTGTTCTGTTTTATTGCTATGTGTCAGAGCTGTAGTAAATTATGTAACTAAACATAATTTGCTGTAGTAAATACAACCAGTCTAACTGCAAATGTTCTAGTTGTGTTGCAAAATACCACCAGTCCAACTGCAAATGTTCTAGTCCATAATTTACTGTAGTAAATTATAACTGTGTTTTAACTGTATCTAGGTAACTGTTCTGTTTTATTGCTATGTGTCAGGGCTGTAGTAAATTATGTGAAGTATTATTCAGTAAGTATTATCTCTGTATAATAAAAGCATCAATGCATGTAATGTGGTGTCAAGAATATTTGATGTTGTATACTGCAGTTGGACTGGTGGTATACTTTCATGTATTTTAGTTTAGTTTCACACACCAGCTTTGATTGTGACATAGAGATTATAAAAACTAAGTGTTCTGATAGTTGCCAAAAATAAAAGTATTTCAGATATGAATTGAAGTCAGATTTATATACAGCAACTTAGCTGAATCCAGAAAAAAACCATCAAGCTGAAGAAAAAGATAACTATTTCTCATAATGTCCTGTATGATGATGTTATTCCAAGGGGGGTGGGAATTCAAATTTTTTACCTGCTCCCAATGAATATCAACAATTGAATAATTATATAACAGAGCTTAAGTCATTAGCATCTACATGTCACGTGGATTGGATGAATGAGAAAAAGAGCTAAATCATAGATCAATTAGTTCTGGGTACTAGAGAAAAATGTCTACTGGAACAGTTGCTGAGAGAACCAAACTGGACATTAAAGAAAGCAGCAGATTTCAGTTTGAGAGAGGAACATCTGTTTCACAAGTCTGTAAAAACAAGAAAAATGGTTTAAATCATTCAGAAGGGTATTAGCAAAGCATACAATGAACAGTAAATAATTTGTTTCAGTGTGAAAGGTGTGGAAAATAAAATAAAAAGTTGATTGTTCAGCTTATGGAAAATTTTGTTCTGAATGCAAAGGTAAGAGTAATTTTTCAGCTATGTACAGAACTGTTAAAAACAAAAGTTGCTGAAAAGCAATATTGTGAGTGATAAGCAAAATGTTGATAATGTGTTGAAACTAATTGGGGATTCTGATAGATAAAAATTCATTCATTAGACAATTTATGGTAAAAGTGTTATGTTAAAAATAATTAAAACTTACATGAGTTGAAACTAATGTGTTTCCTTTACCTATACTAAGAGTGTGAAGCTTTCCTCAGCCATTCAGCTAAGTAAAACTGTTGTAAGGTTAGTATCATGTGCTAATTTTAATTTAAAACTGAAAGAGGAAGTGTTACTGAATTGTATTAATTACTGTAGAGTTCCATTGAAATTTATTGTTGTAAATGTATCTTCTAAACCAATTTTATGCTTAAAAGGTTGCCAGTGCTTAAATTTGGTAAGAAAATTTGATCGGATTCATTCAGTAACTAAAGATGATAGTATATAAAGGCATGTAGTGACATTTTTTGGTGATTATGTAAGTTTCCTTGTGATTCTTATGACACCGAAGTGAATCTTGAAAATTAAGCCTGTGATTAATCCATGAAGATGAATTTCAGTTTCACTTAAAAGTAATCTTAAGGTATCTATTAGATAATTTAAAATCCCAAGGAGTTGTTCAAAATATTAGCAAGGCAACATATTTTGTTAAAAGTTTGGTAGTTGTTGAGAAATTGAATGAGAGTTTAACAATTTGTTCATATTCTAGAAATTTGAATAAAGCCATTAACCGTGACTACCATAGAATACCAACTGCAGATTAGAGGGATAAACAGCATTTTCTGTCCTTGATTTAAAAAATTCATTTTGGCAAGTGAGTTTGGATGAGTATAGTTCACCTTTGTGTGGCTTTAGTACCCGTTTTCATAGACAGTTTTTAAGAATGCCACTTGGATTAGTATCAGCTTCAGAGATGTTTCAAAAGTGGAATATAAATTTGTTTCATGACATAGAGAGTGGAGAGATGTGTTTTAGCGATGCAGTTATCACAGAGCAAAGTGAGAATGAGCATGACCAAACAGTAGCAAAAGTTTTGAAAAAGAGTGGGAAACTGCAAAATTTAATTTAATTTTGAAAACTTCTAATACAAGCTACTTAAATAAATGGGACATAAAATATCTAAGGAAGGGATTAAGGCAGATCTGTAACATGTGAGGGCAGTCACTTACATGGAAACTTTTTCTTATAAAG